ATTTCTGCTGATCGGTGATTGCCGCAAGAAGTTGATACGGACGCCTTACTTCTTTGGTGAGTCAATCAAAATATTTAGTTTATATTTTTGTATTTTTACACCTAAATGAAAATATGTGTGGCGTATGCTGCAAAAATGTTTCGTAACAGGAGACACTTAGCTCTTCCTCTTCAATCTCATTTCTTGCATTTTCGATATTTTCCAGGGTGGCATTATGCAGTTTTGGTGCTATTATTGTTCGCCCTTGCATTTGGTTTCACCGCAGCTGGATCCCTTGCAATCAGCATTTTCCGAGCTAGCAAAGCTCGCCTGCTCACTCTAGTCTTCAACGTCTTCACATTCTTATCATGTTAGCATTTGCAAGTATTTTCATTTTTGTCCACTGGCTTAACGAGTATCCTGAAAAGCATACACATGCACAGACACACACAAACGCATTCACATACCGCTTTGGGTGTGCCTGCTCAAGAGAGTGCCCCATTCTTTTTTTTAGAATTTTACTACCACTGATTGTGAAAGATTTACAGGCGTTTTTGAAACAAGCCTTTTTTTTTTTTTTTTTTATTTTCGACGCGTTTGATTACATTCCTGGCAAATTCTGATTTCTATTTTGACAAATGTTCTGTTTTCTTAGATAAATTTCTCCTTCTCGGGCTAAATTCTCCCACTTTTTTCCCAGTCTTCGGCTCCATTTAAATGGTTTTGATGCCATTTCACTCTAGAACTGAATCATATTTCCGCCACCCTTTAAAACTCCCTTGTATTTTTTACGCATAAAACACCAAAAACCATGGTAATCAGAGGATATTACGTATGAGATATTTCGCTAAATTTGCCCTCTGTTAGCAAATGCCAGCAGAAAGCAAATATAGCTGGAAACACCCGCATATTGGTCCCGTCAATGCGGAGTATTTCTAGTATAAATGCAAAATGTTGCAGTTTTGTTCCTGTCAGTTGGGTTGGCAGTGTTTGTAATAAATGCCGAAATGCTGGAGTCGCGTTTTCTGATTGGTATCAAAAACACTTTTAAAGTAAGTTTGAAAAGATTTTCAGAACTCTTAATGCCTGACTAGTTAGCTCCTCAATTTCTAAGTCTTTCGAGAAATTGTGCTTCGACCGATTTCTCTATGTCTTCTCAGTTTTCTCAGGAAAAGAAACACGATGGGTCTTTCCTATCCATTTCTCTTCCTCGCCGCCTTTTCCTATCATATTCGTTCCTTTTTTCTTCGTGAGTACCTTTGTATGCATTTATATAGTATGAATAATTAATAAAAGAAAAAATTTTAGAAAGAATACGGCTACTCATTTTATCTTGCTGGGCTCGCGTGTATGTTTCTATTGTTCGGTTTGTTGGCCGGCGCAATGGTCACCACATACCTCTTTTTCACGAAAAACGGGCGCAGCTTCGTGGAAGATGCGCAACTGAAGAACCGTACCCACGCATCTACATGGAATCCGTTTGCTAGTTTACGGAAATCGAAGGTAACTAATGAATGATTGGAATGAGTAAAAAAAAAGCTGTAGATTTTGCCAGAAAATGAAGAAATTCTTGACATTTATAAATCTTCCTTTTGCTGATATTAGTGAAATATGTCTTGTATCTTTTAAATTTTGTTTTTACGGTATGAATAAAAGTTACTCTTTTTTCTAAGCTGTTG